CTGTCCTCTCTAGATCTTAATATTTCCCACTTCTTTCGTAAGATTCCATGCACTCTGCCCAACAGTTGGCCATAAGTCTCAGCATCTGCTTTGATAGTCTGCAGGGCAGAGCCTTTCAGAGGCCCTCTGTGGCAGGTTCCTAGGTTGTTTCCTGTTTTCTTCTTCTTCTGATGTTCATCCTCTTTGCCTTTTGGGATGAGGATTGAGCATTTTAGCCAGAATCCTCCCTCTTGATTAGTTTCTTCAGGTGTACAGATTTTAGTAGGTTTATCCTATATTATATGTCTATTTGAGTGAGTATATACCCTGTCTGTGTCTTTCTGCTTCTGTGATAGCTCACTCAGAATGATCCTTTTCAGTTCCCACCATTTACCTGCAAATTTCATGATTTCCTTGTTTTTCATTGCTGGGTGATATTCCGTTGTGTAGATGTACCACAATTTTTGCATCCATTCTTTAGTTGAGGGGCATCTGGGCTGTTTCCAGATTCTGGTTATTACAAATAAAGGTGCTACAAACATGGTTGAGCAGATGTCCTTGCTGTATACATGAGCGTCTTTTGCATATATGCCTAGAAATGGTATAGCTGGATCTTGAGGAAGTGCTACTCCTAATTGTCTGAAAAAGCGCCGGAGTGATTATCTAAGTGCTTGTACAAGTTTATATTTCCACCAACAGTGGAGGAGGATTCCTCTTTCTCCACATCCTTTCCAGCATGTTTTGTCACTTGAGTTTTTGTTCTCTATTTTTAAGCAAACACATTTACATATTTTTGTAATGGATAAGGCAGCACATATCCCTTCTCATTCCTAACTGTTTCTGATGTCAATCCCCTGTCTCATCTAGTGAGGACTTCCTGCATTTTAGGCCCAGATTGTTGCTTTCTAAATTGACCAAATAACCTGTATACTTCAATACCTTAACAGCAAAGAAAAAAAATACCCACAAATCCATAAAACCAAAACACAAACACCACCAAAAACACTGTCAGTATTTTCCAGGAACCAACTTCTTATTTCATTTCAGCTAGAACAGTAAGATAAGAGAAAGAAATGAAGAGAAAACAAATTTACAAGGAAGAGGTAACCTGCAAAATATCCTTATTTACAGATGTGGTGATTCTATATGCAAAAGACTGTGAAGACTCTACCAGAAAATACCTATAGCTGATTAACACATTTAGCAATTTATCAATCAGGATACAAATATCAGTACCCCAACTATATCCTAATAAATAAACTTAGAAGGAAATGAGGGAAACAATATGTTTATAATAATTTCAAAATGTTTTGGAATAAATCTAACCTAGTGAGTGAAGATTTGTATCATGAAAACTTCAAGAGACTGAAGAAGATACCAGAAGATGAACAGACACAACCTGTTCCCATGCTCAGAAATAGGTAGGGTTAACATTGTGAAAGTGGCCATTCTGCCAAAAGCCATCTACAGACTGCATGCAATCTCCATCAAAATGCCAACACAATTCTACATAGAGATGAAAAAAGTTAAAATTCCTATGGAAGCACAACCCCCACACCAAAAAAAAAAAAATAGACAAAAAACAAAACAGGACAGCCACAACAATTATAAGACATAAAAACACAGTTGGCGTTATCATCATCCCTGATTGTAAATCTACCGTAGAGATACAGTCATGAGAATAATGCAGTAGTGGCATCAAAATGACACATCCAACTGAGGCACATATTAGCCCACTTTCCTACCCAGCGAAGCCAACAGTACCAGTTGGAAAAAAAAAAAAAAAGAAAGAATCTTCAACAAATAGTTATGGTCAGACTGGTCAAACATAAAAGAATTAGATGAGATTCTTATCTTTTGCTCTGCACAAAACTCATCTCCAAATGGATCAAGGACCTCAACATTAGATCTGATAGCCCAAATTTGTTAGGGAGAAAGTAAGGAACACACTTCAAGTTAGACACAGGGAAGAGCTTTATGGACAGGGCCCCAGTAGCACAGGACATGAAGACCAACAATTTAGAAAAAGTGTAGGAGATCCATTCTCTATTAGCAAGGAATTATTAATATCACAGTCCATGAATTATTCATGACCCAGAAGAAATTAGTTATGTGATACAAATCCAGTTGATCTTTCCTTTGGGGTACAGAGAGGAAAACACATGTGAGATAGATGTTCTGGGAGCCATTTCTTTTTGAGAGGGAAAGGCTATCCTGAATATTTGCAAAAACATTTTATGAGCCTGGCATGGTTATGCTTGCCTTGAATCCTAGCTCTTGGAAAGCAAAGGCTGCCACAGATAGGGAAGCTCAGTCCATGGAATAAAACTCAGAGTCTGCAATGTGAATTACCAGCAAGGGCCACTGGGGCCCAAAAACATGTAAGAACCTTGTGCTGAGTTTGTATTAGGGGCAACTACATGGAAAGATAGTATACAATCATGAAATTGTTTCCAGGGAGTAAAAGGTTTTATTAATATGTCCACCAGGGGGGAACAAAGACAAGGAAGCAACAGTAGAAAAACCACTCATACTTCTTAAGAAATAACACATTCCCAGACACTTGAGCTGGAAATGGCTGTTAACGGATCATTTCCTTTGTTGTTAGTGTGCCAAAGGTCAGAGCTCCTAGACATAGGATGTGTTTCTTTCCCAGATTATGCTGTCGGAAACAAAAGGCAGGCAGAGAGCTCTGAGTTCACAGCCAGCCTCCTCTTCTCAGGAAGGTCATTGCCAGCCAAGGCTGCATAGTAAGATGGCTGCCTCAGAACCAAACCAAACAAAAAAAGTATTTTAGAAATTGGTGACAAATCTTGCCAAATTCACAGAATTATTGATTACTATCCTTATAAAGTAGAATGAGTGGATGTTTTCAATAAATGTACATGAAAAATAAAACAGTACAGCTATCAGAGGAGAGCCAAAACTAATCTAGGCAAATGTATAATTATGTTTCCAGTGAGCCCACAACAAAACTCATCCCTTGCCTTGCGCCTTGGAAATTGATAATGACTTCCAGGTTTTCATATCATAGTAAAGTTTCCTTCTGTGCTTGTGATCTGTGTATTTTTAATAACATCACACGTATATTTTTAAAAATTTTAAAACTCTATATAAGTAGATTTTATCTTAAACAGATGTTTTTAAAAAGGGTTTTACATGGAAATTCAATGAATAAATGTGTTCTAGTCTTTATAAGAAGATCAATAATGGACACATAGAGGAACTCAGGAAAATAAACCCTTTTTTCTTTTAATTTTATTAATTACAGTTTATTCACTTTGTTTCCCAGCTTTAGTCCCCCTCACCCTTCCCCTCCCAATTCCACCCTCCCTCCCTCTTCTTCTCCTATGCTCTTCCCCCAGTTCGGTCCTCCTCACCTTCCATCTCACCCTAGTCTATCAGGTCTTATCAGGACTGGCTTCTTTGTTTTCCTCTGTGGCCTGGTAAGGCTGCTTCTCCCTCAGGTGGAGGTGATCAAAGAGCTAGCCCATGAGTTCATGTCAGAGACGGTCCCTGTTCCTATCATTGGGGAACCCTCTTGGACACTGAACTGCTATGGACTACTTCTGTGCAGGGGTTCTAAGTTATTTTCATGCATGGTCCTTGTTTGGAGTATCAGTCTCAGAAAAGACCCCTGTGCCAAGATTCTTTGTTCAAATCCTTTAAGTACAGCAAAGGAAGCCACCATTCAAATAAAGAGCCAGCATGCAGAATAGGATTTAAAACAAACAAACAAAAAACAGTTATACATCTGACAGATGATTACTATCCAGAACACACAAAGATTAAAAAAAAAAAACCCAAACACCCATGAAAACAAATACCCAATTAAGTTTGGGGGTGATTAGAACTAATCAGAGTTCCCAAAAGAAGGAATAAAATAGCCAGGAAATACTGTGTAAAATGTTCAACATAGTTAGTAATCAAGTAAATACAAAATAAAAATTGCTTTGAAATTTCTTCTACTCTGACCAGAATAGCTAAGATAATAAAGTAAATGACTGAAACAGGCTGGCATAAATGAGGGTAAAGGGGAGTACTTATTCACTGTTGGTGGGAGAGCTAGTTGATAGAGCTAGCATGGAAATCAGTGCAGTTTCCTCAAAAAGCCAGAGAGGGAACTAGCTTACAATTCAGCCACAGCACTTCTGGGCATGTAACCATGGGGGTCTATGTCCTAGCCCTGAAGTACTCACTTGCTCATCCATGTTCATTGTTACTTCATCCATAATAGCCAGAAAAGAGAAACAGCCTAGATGTCCATCAACTGGTATATGGATAATCAAGACTTGCTACATATATACAATGGAATATATTCAGCTATAAAAAAATGAAATTATGAAGTTCATAGTTAGTGAGTGGAATTGGAAATAATTCTGAGTGAATCAGAAAGATAAGTACATCAGGTGCCCTGATAATCGGAGGCTAGCTTAGGCTTAGATATTGCATAAGGTGTGGGGGTTTCTAAGGATTGTAAAAGATATGGTGAACATCTAAAATGAAAAAGTATGTGTTGAGACATGACAGGGACATTGCACACATGAAATCACAGAGTTACTATGTTTAATCACAGAATAAACACAAGCTCTTCACAAGGTCCACTCAGATGAAGTAGGGAGGATCATGAAGTCCCACCCCAGCAGTAAAAATGCTGGTAATTGATAACTGCAATAGTAGAAGAGTAAGTTTTCTTTAAGGATGTGCCCCTGATGTTTGCTTACGATCTAGTAATGGTCTTATACTCACGTATACACACATGGTATTATGTGAGCTTAGTGGGTTTAGTAAAACAAACACAAAAAACAGTTTGGAAAGAAAATTTCCAACTGGAGGAACTGGAGGCAAAGGAATGGTGTAGATTTGATCAAAACACATTATAAGCATGCATGTAGCTCTCTAAGAGTAAAAACTAAATCAATAACAGTACAGATTTGAGGAAAGCAGGTTGTCGCTGAACGTGTTTTGCCTTCTGCAACTTGAGTTGACATGGCAGCAGCCCAGGAATTCTATTTACTTGCCTTCTGTATGGATAGGATTCTTCAGCTGCCAGGCTGCCATTGTCCTTCACATACTGGAAGGCATTCTGCTTGAAGCCACCACTGCAGCATGGGTAACACTGAAACCCATGCAGTCCAGTAGGTTCTGCTCACTCAAAGGGACCAGTCTCCCTGTTTTCCTGAACATTTGTCCTTCTAGGGACCCAGCTGCACTAAAAGCCCAAATAGAGGTACAATGACCCTAAGGCATAAAGAAAAAGCTGCCATTCATTCATGTATCTAATCACAGATATATGTGGATGATTCATACATCCGAAAACTTTCATGAAACGGTGAACTGTATGCTGCTCCACGCTTAGGAAAAGCAAAGATGTTTGCTTCATAGCTTCCTGTGAGTGGCAAAAGTTGGGAATGTCACACCGCCATACCTGATTATTCACAAGAGTCACATAGCCTTGCTTTTTCCAATCCACATATTTGGGGACATAATGAAACAGATGATCCTGAAATATATGCGTCTTCTTGATCCTCTGCCTTTGATACCCAGTCATCATTTTCTCAAATTCTGTATTAGACTTTGAAAGAGTCAACAAATCACTGATAGTATTTATAAAGAACTGAAGAGAAGAAATACTAACTAATGTAATTTATGTCACACTCACCAAATCACCAAACACATTCATTGCCATGGTGAAGTCATGCTTCCCCTCAAGGTATTCCCAATTGTGCAAATCAATCATTTTGAAATTCTTCTCCCACACTGCTCTCCTCAATCTTTCTTCATTCTGGAAAAAAATACAATTTGTGATCTTTCGTTCTGTTTCAAGTTCAACCCAAGTCCACTCAGTGGACCCACTGATGGAGAGGAACCATGATGAAAGATTGTTGTACTCTTCTGGAAGCCATTATTCACAGGTAGTAACAACAGAAACTTTTGTTACATAGTACACATGATGCATGTCTTTAGGTTAAGCCTCGAACAGAGCTGGATTACAGAACCCTTGGTATGGCTAGAGTGCACACATCCATAAATACACAACAGTGGGACAATTGTCTATGGGAATATCCACATTACTAACCATGTCATATGTTTTCCCATGCTTTATCTTCCATTCATGCCAGTGAACGTCCAAACTGTGATGACGTGTTGGAGCAGTTCCGTTGACTTCCAAGCAGAGGATGGCTAGGAAGAGAAAAACAATCATGTCTCCTATACCTAGAGAAGAAGACACAAGAGTGCAATTTCATCAGTGCTTCAGAAAAGCCTTCTTGTTTCCTATCTAGACATTAAGACCACAGTGGCGCAATCACATTATTTAAACTGTCCTCCTAAAGATTATACTATGGAAGAGGCTAAGGATCAGGCTGACTTAAAGCAGACATACAGAGGAATTTGGTTCATCCACTAGAATGAAGAGCAACAGGCCAAGGCTCCAGGAACTGGACTATGTGCGCTGTGAACTGGGTGTGCTAGCTCAGCACAAGCCGTGTATATGTCTTGTGCTTCAGAAACTTAAAGTGAAGACTTCAGACATAATTGGCCCATGTTTTGTGACATTGGTACTGAGGTCACATGAGCAAAATTGCTCTAGTACCGAAGAATGTTATCTCAAGTATAGAGCTATACATCCCAACAGTTGGGGCTCATAAGATATCTTTTCCTTGGCCAGAATGCACCAGGAAATGTCTCTGATCATTCCCTTCAGAAATCTTTCTGGAACATTCTCTGTACACCATCAGAGAAAGACACATGCATTATTTCTTATTTTCTTTCCTTTGGAATGTGACTGAAAAACCTAGTTAACAGCCTCTGTGAGGCTCACGGTCTCTGGCTGAGACCTTATACAAGAGAGCCCATAAGTCCCAGAAATCTTGGCTCAGTTTTGAAGATGGGACCTGTCCTCTTCACTGATGACATTTGAGAATGGCCTGTCCTTGTGCCTTGCTTACATTGGAGTTTCTGGCTTCCAGTTTCTTGATTATGTCACCTCTTTCCATATTTTAAAGTTGAGTGCACAGTTTTAAGGTAGAACAGAGTAACTGTTGTATGCTGTTCTTCCCTGATTCTTTGGGGAGGATGTACCAGGAAGTTTTTGTACGCTGTTCTTCCCTGATTCTTTAGGGAGGATGTACCAGGAAAGTCTGGGGTCTCCAGACTTTCTACTAGAACAATGGTACATCCTGTAGGGAGGAGAGAAAATGGAGTTTGACTCATCCACTGTGCTCTCAGAGGAAGCCACATAGTCAGCAGGACTATGACCCTGCCATTAAGTCACTAGGAGTAAGCCATAAGTAGTTTCAGTTGAATCTATCTATCATCTATCTATCTATCTATCTATCTATCTATCTATCTATCTATCTATCTATCTA